GAGATTTTTTAAAATCGCTGTGTGGGACACCCAATTCGGGTAAACTCGAGCCCTTGGTAAGCCCGAGCACTCGGCCCCTTGGAGAGGCTGAGTACTAGAGACTCGGACCGAGTAGTTAAAGACTGATTAACAAAAAATGTTACCTTACGTAGCTGTATACATACTTAGATGCCTAGGTGCATGCCAATATATGTAATTTGTGACCATATTTAAACGGCCTGCTTGTATGGAGTATGGACAACTAAACCTGAAATCTTTATTTTTAAAAGGAAAATGATTAAAATATCTATTAAAGATGAGCTATTTAATCTTTTACCCATATAGATTGATTTAATTTTAAATTACCCATCAAATTATATATGATGATGGATTGGAATAATGACAAATGTGTAAAATGTTAAATAATGTATCTCTTATGAGTATTTTGATAAATTTATCTTTTATAGCATACATGTGTGGGATCCCTTACCCATCCATTTGAAACCTAAATAAGAAAGCGAAAGCTTTTAATGTTCCCCTTATAACATAGAAGTTCTATCCTCCCCCTACTATCCAGCTGTCCATTTTTTATCAAGAGAGTCACTCACCATTTGATCTGAGATCTGAAGTCTCAAAGTATTTTATTTTTAGTTTTTTAATACAATTTTTCTGAATATAAAATTTGGTACATGCCATCTTCTCATTGGGGTGCACCTATAAAAAATATTAACAATAATTTTTTGATAAAAAATAATGACTATAATACCCCTTAAAAATTTTAGAGGTATTTTGGTCATTTTATTTTATTTAGAATATATATATATATATATATTTATATTTTTTGTTAGTACGAGTTTAATAGAAGAATGGACGTCCAAAATTTGGTGTCAAAATAGTTTATAGAAAAAAATTAAAAAACAAAATAGTATAGAAACGTGACATTGTGATTGGGACAATCTTAACCCTCCATTCAAAAAATAGACGGTTGGATAAGGGATAACTTCTATATTGTAAGGGAAACATAGAAAGATTTCCCAACAAGAAAAACGAGAGGGAAAAGAAAGAAGATGCTTTTATATTCTAAAATTGCAGCAATATTATTATTATTATGGCCTAGTCCAAACTAGCACAAAGTCATGCATGCACAACCCACACAGATATTCATGAAGGCATGTATTGCCCGCATATAACATAATAGAAAAAAATTTATACAAGGTGACAATCTCATTTGTGGAAGTAAGTTTGCAGCATTAGATATCGATAATATAGATTTAACTTTGTCTTAAAAAATATGCTAAACTTTAGCATTTTTTTAAGAAATATACCAGAAAAATATGGACATTGTAAAACGCTGGAACCTTACTCCTACAAATAGTATTGCCGCTTGATATAAATTGCACCGAATATGAACATTGTACTTAGATCTAAACACTTGGATTTCATGGATTGTTAGATTAATCGTTTTACATGTGTTTGTTGTAGTTTTTTTTTTTTGGTGCCAAAAGTTACCAGCTTAGCCTAAAAGAGGTGCAATAAAATATCTATTCTTTGAGCTACATTATTAAGCGAAAACGAAATAGTGGACACGTGGCATTTAACTAGAAAATGATCCTCAAAGAAAAGAGAATTTAGGGTACTGTACTTTATGAAGACCTTTTGGATATATAGTTTAAGGTGTGTATTTTCTTCACGCATAAATCGTGCCAATATTCTCTAGAAAAGTCTCTTAAATTTGACAAGATATATTTTCCTGCTTTTTCTCCTAAACTCAATCATTGTCTCTTAGAAAATTACAAATAAACTCTCTCAATTTTCTAAGTAAAATTTCCATCCTTACATGTATCCTTTCCATTTATGATGAAGTTTTTTTATAAAGCATAGGTTTTATGAAAACAAATTAAAGCCTCACCTCAAATCCTTGTCCAGAAAGCATTTTCGACAATGGATATCTTCATGATAGCTTTAAAAATCAATTTCTAACACCAACAATAAAATTTGAAACTCAGAAAATGGTGTACAACTCGCGGATGTAGCGCTTATTTTTAGGGCAAAATGGAATGTCTAGACAATATGTTATGAACTATTTTTAAAGCTCGAAATCTGATTTTTTTTCACAACCATAATGTTCAAGCCGAGATGATCAATGTAAATGTTTCCAATGCTTGAATTATAATTTTTGATGAATTATGAGACGAGACTTTACATATTTTGATAGGGCTGCAATACTATCGAACCATTTTCCTTCCATTTATCCTCCATTTCTCTTCCTAATGGGTATGGTTGACTCGGCGATACCCTACAAGAAAATATCAAAGTTAGATCACGACTAGTATGGTCAAGGCTGGACCTGGATCAGGATTCAGGACCCGACTTGTTAGGTCCAATGTCCGGGTCGAGATGCAGCTTTGAGTAGGCTCGATCTTCGAGTTCCGTCTTGCTTGCGACCCTGATTTCCGCACATCATTTTTTTATTTATTTTTATACATATATATTCAATTTCAACATCTTAATTAAGTCATATTTTTTTTTTCCTTTTTATATTTTACTTTTTTTACCATATTTTAGTTCGATATCTGGATTCCTTCTTTTTTTTAGGTTATACTCCCTTCACTCTGTTCTGTTTATTTTCATCTCTTGTTTCTCTCTTATGTGCAATGCACCAGGTTTGAAAGTGTGATTAGAAATTCAACTTTGAATTACGTGGAGCACTCCTGTCTCCCATAGTACAAAGAAAAAGGGTGCTTTAAAAAATTTACGAATATTGTCAAAAAGAAAAAGGGTGGTTTGAAGAAAAAATCAATTTAAAAAATGTAAATTAAATACTAATCCGGTACGGAATCGGTGGGGGACCAATTTGCTTCTATTCAAATTGGGAATAGAATCAATTTGAAAGGATTGGACTGCTTTTATCAGAGAACCTGGTGATCCGGATTAACCAGATTGCCTGGCTCCCACCTGATATATCTTTTATTTTATATTTTAATTAAATTTAAAATATAAAAATATTTTAATATTTTCCATATAGTTGGGAGAATCGTCGATTTGGATCAACCTCACAATTGATTGGCACCATGCTAATCCGAGTTTTTAAATACTAAAAATAATTAGGGCATAAATGCTAATATCTTTTGTAATTAACCTGGAATTATTAGTTTTGGACCCCTTGAATCCTCGCATTACGTAGTTTGGAGCTAATAGTATTCAAAAAATACGAATAAAATGTAAGAGATGCGTATAAGCAAATATATATTTTGAAGTTGGTTTTGGAACATTTTACAGTAAGCGGTGATGTCTAAACTTATTTTTAAAATTTTTTTCATTACCATTTTATTTCAATATTTTGGAAAATTTTACAGCGGGCTCCAATTAACCACCCAAAACATTAAAACACGAAGTATCTTGATAGTTTGAAAATCTAACTTTTCAACTTCTCAATATACAAAAAAAAAAAAAAAAAAAAAACGTTAAGTGTGAACCTTCCAAGCAACATAAATACATAAAACTAAGTGTTTAGGCAGTTGACAAACACATTTATTTTATTATTATTTTTAAAATTTTTCTCTGTGAGTTGGGTGGTTCAAAATCAAAATTTTAAATTTAGGAGATAATAGAAATAGAAAAATTCTAAAAAATTGAACCTCACCCTTATATGTCTAGTAGCAAAGCCCATGATTTAATTCTAGAAATTAATTTAGGTCCGTCCATGAATTTACCAAAATGTTAACTCATCTGTACTTGGGTAGATTTTTAATTAATTTCCTTGGTCAAAAGAAAAAATAAAAAAACAAAGCAAGACGAACATGAGCAAGAAGACAAAAGGCAAGATGGGCCCACCATCCAAGAACCGTGCGATGTTTGGCACGTGCCATACATTAATTGTCATTTACCCCTACAACAGGGCTCGGCCAATATTGCCACCCATTTTATATTGGAAAATGGTTTGATAGGAATAGTGCTTTGTGAGGATTTGAGGTGGGGCTTTAGTTTGTTTTTATGAAGCCTAGGCCTTATAGAAACGTCACCTTTTCACATTTTGATATATTTTTTGGTTTGGTTAAGTTAAGGCTGACATTGAGCTGGGTCAGATATACTTTATCCAAACCTCACTTTAAATCTAAAATGTGAAAGTGGAACTGGAGTTTAAAACTTGGATTTTGGAAGAGTGAAATAGCCAATTTGCTGATTAAAAAATATTCGAATTTTTTATATTTAAAATACCAAAGTAATAAAAATTTTTACACTAAAAATACCAAAGTAATAAAACAAAATTAGTGGGAATCTAATTTAGATTGCCTTGACAGGTTCAATGTACTCACCCAAAAAAACAAAAAAAAAAAAACAGCTCTAAGACAAAATGCTGTGTCTCTTGAAATCAGCCTGATTCCTTGGTGAGGGACTGAGTTGATACTCCACTAATTCATGAGAGATGCATTATGTAGCATTTTAAAATTGAATTAAACAATACAAGTACAATGTCAAATATTTCCGTTGTATATAAAAAAAAAAAGGTTAAATATTTCATCTCATATGGATATTTAGATAATTTGATCTTTCTGAATCATCGTGTGGAGGGCTTGAGATAGACCCAAGCCATAGCGCTAAGGCATCAATCTCAACTCTAACATGCATATGTCCAAATTGTAGATACATTACATGCGGAGGATGCATATATGCATGCTCTGGGTGTATAGGGAGGGGAGAGGGAGAGAGACCATGTGACTATAAAATGGGCTTGTACGGGTCGGGCTAGTGTACATGTATAACTTCTACATACGATTTGCATATATAGAGAGAGTCTTCCTGACCATCATATTGATCGGGCCTCGTATGATGAGCTTGACTCTGGGACTCAGTAGTGGTCGATATCGGTTCCGGACTCAGCTCTTGCCAGAGGCCCATGGGTTGGCCCGCCCAGTTGCCAGCCCAATTCTCCAAAGGCCCACCCCTTTACTGGTGGAACTAAAAAGATGTCGGGTGCATATAGCAACAACACAGGTAGAAATAGAAATAGAAATAGAAATAGAAATATCAAAAGAGTGCCGGCTTCGCATAAAAGTGACCTTGGCCATTGCACTTATTCGCTTCTTGCTTACAAATCACCGTAATTTCAGCTTTGCTGAATATTTTATTTGCCGGGTGCCCTTTTTTGCTCTTTACGGTGAATTTCGGCGTCTTCCGGCAACACAATGATAATTTCCCGGCGATGGTCGTGGGCACACTCTAGCTGACAATAGTTCCCAAGAAACCGGTATTTATTCAAATTCTTTTATCTTTTGAGCGGTTTTTTGTCCTTTTCCACTTCTGGTTTTAAAGATTGTGAAAAGCTTTTTCTGGTTTTTAGGGTTTCTGCTTTTCTTCACCTTTTTTCTGTTTTTTTGAGGGTTTTCGGTTATGTGGGTAGCTCTAGTTTGGATCCAGGGTTGTGTTGGTGTTTTGTTTCTGGACTTCTGGGGGTGCAGTGCAGCGGACTAGTGAAGCGGACTGGTGAGAATTAGGATTTTGGGGCTTTTCTGGTTAGGGTTTCATGAAGTTTGAAGTCAGATTGCGGGGTCTATTCGTTTTGATTGCAGAGATTTCGGGTTTCCGGGATGTAGTTGTTGAGAATTAGGGCTTTTTTTTTTGTCTGGTTCTGGTTCGATGAAGTTCGAAGTTAGGTAATGATGCTCAGCTTTTGATCGGAAAGGGGGTTTTCTGGGTTCTCCAGTGGTTCTAATGGAGGCGAGAATTAAGGGTCGGACTCAACAATTTTATAGTTCTGGTGTGCCTGAATTCATGCTAAAAGGGAAAGGTCCTGTGGTGGTTGAACAAAGCAGAGATTGGGATCCCAACGATTGGAAATGGGATGCGAACTTATTCATTGCTACCCCTTTGAGCTCCACTGCTCAAGATTGCCAGATTAAGCAGTTTTTTCTTCCTGGATCAAACAATGGAGCTGGGAATTCAGGCGCTGAAGAGGCTGGAAAACGCAGGAGAGTTGAAGCGGAGTCGAATAATGAAGAGGGATCTCTTACTTTGAAGCTTGGAGAACATGCTTATCCAATATTGGACATGGAGGCCTCGAATTGTGAAGGGAAAGGTGGGAAGAAGTGTAAAGTTCAGGGAGGAAATGGGAATCGATCTACTTGTCAAGTGGATGATTGCCAGGCTGATCTGAACAATGCGAAGGATTATCATAGGCGCCACAAAGTTTGCGAAATGCATGCCAAGGCAACAAATGCGCCAGTTGGTCAAGTTATGCAAAGATTTTGTCAACAGTGTAGCAGGTCAGTTGTTCTTCCTTTCTCGGGCCTCTTACTTTCTAATAAGTTGGGCATTTGATTTGTTTAGCTTAATGAGTTATTCCATCATGGACTGCCAGCTTTGATAATAGAACTTGAAATTCCCCTGTAGAGATAGAGAGACATAGCTTGATATTTTGGTATTGAGCTCAAGTTTTCATTGGGTTGTTAGAAATTAGTATGATTTGTGCATGTGGATATATTGACACAGCTACTTATCAACAGGACAACAAATAACTGAGAAGCAGTTTTATGAATAGGGAGAGTTTTATAGATGAGAGAACGACGTTGAGATATATTGACTGCTATAATTTTCAATTTCTCAAGCAATGAACTACTTGTAATTGTTTCATGTTGTCATACCAACCAAAGGCAAAAAGGAAAGCAATTAGTGTTCAAGATTACTATCAATGTGTATCAGTTTGGTAAGCTTGGTATCAGTTTGTAAATTTAGTGCAATAGAAATGAAAAAATGTAATCTGCATAAACTGTTTTAACTACATGAATAAAGTGGAAAATCTATGAGTCTATATGAATTTAGAAGATTTTTGCTGTTAAACCGTCTTGTGCACTTTTTTTGGGTTATCCAAAAGCACCCCGTCATTTACAGAGAACTTAACATTAAGCTCATGAGAAGTTTTTGCATGTTGGCATTCTTAAGGTTTGGAAATACAAGATTTATAACCTATTTTCTTTTGGTAAAGAAATGACTGAACTAACCAAGCAGCTTCAACACCAAATACTTCAATATTATTGGATGATTATAAGATGATACCTGTGCCGTAGTCAGTGAGAATAGATTGACGTGTTTAAATCAAGTAGCAATTTGGAGAAGGATATCGGTGCATCAAGTATGCCTTAAAAGGAGAATTATATATCAACTAAATTTTGGCAGAGTGTAGGTCATGAGTGTTGATGTAATGGTCCACTTTATTCACAGTTAATCATAGCTATATGGGATGGAAGTGTTACAGCAAGAGTTGTTGAGCTATTGATCATTTACTACTCTATTTTGGTGCGGTTGCAGTATAGTTTGGATTGATTTTGTTTGTATTTATGAACTGTTTATGGGCCATTCATGTGAGAGAAGGGGAACTTATTTTGGGCTAAGCTTGATTCACTTTGGACTGGTGATGTGTCTCATGTTATATAAGGTTGGGTTCAATGTATTTTCCTCCCATGATAAAAATAGGGAATATGGATGCTCACCCTTGTGTCAAATCAATGTTTTTAAAAAATGCTGATCCGGATCAAAATTACCCTATCCGGATCATGAATCAGGGCAAACCACTTCCCATAAAATATTGGGAGCTGGCCGGTTCCCCCCATGACACGATAGGTTCTGGCTGGTTCAAGTAAATAACTGGCCCAGATTCCCAAGTTCCCCAATTTTTTTTATTCTTGTTTTGTACTTTATATTTTATTATATAGAAGGAGCCCCACCTCCTTTAAACAAAATTTTAATACTTTTTACTTTTATTTTTGTAAATTTTATTTTTTATTACATAGTGGGCCCCCCTCTTTAAAGAGGAGTGGGCCTACCTCCATCTTATTAAATGGGCAACCATCAATTTCATGTTTCCATTTATCCTTTTTATAGGGGTTTGCCTCCCCACATACATCCCACATCACATTTTGTTGAATGAAAAATTGCAAACCTACACATTTGTTTTATTTCTTCTACAATGTTTTTTGCTGTGCGAATATTTATTGTGCACTGCAAAGGTAAGCTACTCGTGATGGCAATTGCGAGGAGTTTGTAGACCCATGTATGAGGTGAATAGAAAAACTTGCAGATCCATATATAAGGTGGATTTACCAAGATACCATACTAATAAAAGTTCTCGCTCTACCCACTTTTATTAGAATGGTATCATCTAACTCTACAAAGTGCGAACCTCTCTTCTCGTTTCTTCTCTCTTTTTCTACACGTACATGTGGACCCATGGATAAGCTGGATAAGGTCAAAATACATGCCCTTTTCGTTTTCAAGGTTCTACAAATATTCTTTCATTTATCCCATGTGTCATTATATTTTGTCTATTTCTTCTTTAGAAAGACTCAATCAGTAAATGATTTTGCAAGTGATTTTAAATATGTAAGCATATAACCCTCCATTGGGATTCTTTTATCTGAAGTTTCCGAAGCACCAATAATTACCCATGATTAGTTTAAAAAAATCCAATACTAGAGCTCAAAAAATGCTCCAAATCATCCTCAGGCACCCATTGTGGAACATTCATTTGAGGACAATTTATCTAGATCTTTCTTTGAGTTTTATAAGGGAGAAATTTTTTCCTTTTGTGAGATGGCATGATGCAACAAATGGGTATGTCTGTCGTATTTTTTTTTTGTGCATTGCATTTCTTTCTGATCTATAAACAAGCCTATAAAATGAAACCATTTTCTGCAAATGGCATTGGAGATTATTAAAAAAAATAAAATTGAGCTAGAGAGATCCAATTTTATAGCAATTAGATGCATTTCAAACTTTGTTTTGACTGTAAAATGATTGTAAAGGACAACAAGCACTAAGACCTAAGACATGTTCTCTGTATTTACACATTTTTGTTAAGACTGGAACTCTACTGGTAGATTTCAAGATACGTTGGTTTATTGCATAATTGGAATTCATTGTTTCTTTGGCTGTATAATTTTATTTATTTATTTTGCTAAGTAAAATCAACATGAAGCGCGAGTGCATGCTGTACACATGCACGGGGTAAGAGTCCTCATGTACCTATGTGAGAGTGCAAAGGACATGAATTTTGATCTGGTGGAATTTATTGACTGTGTGCTTATATCTGAATCTTGTTAACTATAATTCCACTCCTTTTAGGTTTCATGTGCTTCAAGAATTTGATGAAGGGAAGAGAAGTTGTCGGAGACGTTTGGCAGGCCATAACAGGCGAAGGAGGAAAACACATCCTGATGTGGTTGCTGGTGGGGATAATTTGAATGATGAACGAGCTAGTGGCCTTCTCTTGATTAGTCTGCTAAAGATTCTTTCTTATATGCACTGTAAGTTTCGTAGGATTTCCACGTCCATTTTATAATCTGTTCTTAGCATATCAATGTCACTGATTGTTTTCACGAATGCCATTTCTACGTGTCAACAATTAATTTATCATGATCTATTTTTCTTAAAAAAAAATAATTATTTTCTCAGTAATTTTTTTTATCATGATCTATTTTGTGTATTGATAGCATGCTTTATATATGTTTTTTTGTGGTGTGTGAGATGCCTTGCCTTATATTTGGCACTTCTTTTTGAAGCATTACAGAATGTCGCGACACTTTTTCTAGTGTATA